AACTTTCTCGCCTCGTCCTCAAGTTCATAGACGGATGAAATTGGTGCGGTAGAACCATTCACTTCCCGCTCTATGTGGAGGCGAAAGAGTTCCCAGTTTGTTTTTCTGGGATTTCTGTAAACATGGTTTGTTACTCTTTGGGCTTCTATATCGAATCGAATATGCCGGTGGTCCGACATAGATACCTCATTTGAGACATGCCAGTTTGAGATAAAGGTCGACAAGCTAGTTGAGGAAATTGTCAAGTCTAGAACCTCCCCTCTTATAGCATTGACAAAGGTCGGCTCATTACCCCGGTTAAGAATAAATAAGTTGTTCTTAGTGATAAATTCAAGAAATGACTCACCTCTAGAATTGGTGTCCGAGCTGCCCCAAACACAGTGATGGGCATTGGCGTCGCAGCTCATTATTAGTTTCAGCTTTCTCCTTCTGCAGTACTCCTCTAGGGCTATTACTTCCCTTGTGGGCATCTCACAGCTGTCGCCTGGGAGGTAAGCTGAAGCGAGAACGACCTCTTGTTCTCCCATTTGAGTGGGCACTTTAGTCCATACAGCAGCTAAGTCCTGTTGTGTCAACTCTGAAATGGGAACAAAAGTCATGTTATTACTTAGTAATATGGCCGCTCTGGGCCTGCAGTGTGTGGTATCGTAAATTATCTTACCATCACAGTCGTTTAGGCCTTTAATAGCCCCGGCGAAAACCCACGGTTTTTGGATGAATGCGACATCCAAGAGTTCTGTTTTGAACCTCCTGCTTAAGACGTCAGAGGCCGCCTTTGCATGATGGAGGTTCACTTGCAGGCACTTGATGTGCCTAGGCCTATCGCTTGGGGGGTTTGCCATTTTTCGGCCTTGAAGCCCGCTTGGCCATCTATTTCCCCCTATTGGTGGCCATCAGGGTCTTCTCCTCCATTGAAATCTCCCCTCGACCTTGTCTACGATTCGCATTTAGCGGAGGACGGAAGGGATTTTGGGCGAAAGGGGCCTTTGATCTCTCTGGGCTGGAAGGTACCCTCTTTTCCGTGCCAGGAGTGTCTTCTGAGCAGCAGGGCCGCTCTATGGACTCCTGGACAGGTGCTTTTTCCTTCTCCGCTGCCCCTGACTGCTCTGAAGGTAACCTTTGCAGTCCCTTGGGTACGTCCTTGGAACCGCAAGGTCCCTCTTTGAAGCACGCACTTTGTGCAGTGGAGGAGGAACTGGCTATAGCAGGCTGTGCACCATTCGGGTCTGACGACTCAGTCGTCTTCCCTTTTTTATGGATGCGCACCCTGCCATATCCATAATTGACTAAGTATCCCAGCCTGTCGAGTGTCTCCGCTGAGTGCGGGTGAACCGCTAGAGTGAGCTCAGTGGTGGGTCCCTTCTGTACCCTGTTGAGCACCCTCCAGCTACCTACCCGTAGCCCTTCGTTCTGACCCTCGACAAGGCCAAGGATACTGTCCACTGGAGTGGTTGATGGCTCCGGAAAGTACCCAACGTACACACTGGGTTTGGGCACGTCAGTGGCATTCATTGCCACAATTTCCGCGCCCTTCCAAGGCTTCAGGGTTTGGGATACCTTGCGCAGCCGTTCCAGCGTTATAGCGTCTCCGCAGCCAATGGACATCCATCCCGGACGGAAGGTGCAACCGCTAAACTTGGGCTTCACAGAGCCCTTTCGCTGCCGCCCACCTCCTCCAGGATGGCCGTCTGAATGGCCTGTAGTTGGTCTAAGGACCAAAGTGCCTTAGGGTACCCTTTGGGGAGTAACCCTAACTTAACCCCATTACCAGTGTCCGCCTGACAGGTCGGCGCCTTTGTGACATCGGCAAAAGTTGCCTTAACACTAGGTACCTTTGGTCCCATATGGGCCCTTTTGTCAGCTGGACCTGGTTTCCGTTTGGGAGAGTTCTCCACCGGGGAAGATGTGAGGTTGACCGATCGGTTCCTCTTAAGCTTTGTGCCAGCCAGCAAAGACAGTTCGGCTTTTCCTTTTGCCATCGGAATAATGGCTAGCCGTTTGGCCTCGCTTTCGCTGACACCTCTGGAGAGGTAGAATTTGTAGCGCTTTTTACCTGCTCCAGAGAGTTTTCTTTTAGGAGTACTAGCTTCCTCCTGCTGTGACGATAAGAGCGCCTCCTCCTCGTCTGTGGGTATTTGGATGTCGTTGCCATTTGAACCAGAGTCCATTTTGGCAGTATCGACATCCATGGCCACCGGGTTGCTGAGAAGGCCGTTTGGATCAAAGTCCATTTCGTCCATTACAGCGTCCCGAGAGGGTTGAGCGCCTTGGCCGTTTGGATTTGCACCCAGTTCGTCCGCCGCAATCGCCATTTGTTCAGCAATCTCGTTGGGCATCGCGTGCACCTCTGAGACTGCTGACTGTTGCCCACTGTTAGAGGGCACAGAGCTTTTATTGTTTTTTTTATTAATTTGTTTTTCTTCCATAGAATCCCACGAGTAAGGGGGAAGAGAGAGGTCATCCGAGGCAGAGCCCCGGTACCCCGGAAAGACTAAATAAAACCAGACGGCGCCACGTGACTGGAGTACACCGTAAAAAGACACACTAACGTAGTGCCATTCAGTCCGCAGGCACGGTCCGATTAACACCTGGACTTACGGATTTTATCGAGTTGTTCTCTCTAGATCCGCCATATTCAGTAAAAAGCAGGGGCACCTCTCGCAGGGTGTGACTCTTCGCCACGTATGGTCGGTCTTGAGCCATCGACAGCCCCTGATCCAGAGCACTGCATCACGTGTGATAACAGCACCAAGAACCTTGACCCATTAAGAACCTTGAGTCATTAATAAGGGTCGTATTTATTGACCGATTTCGTTCAAATTCGCAATGTGAGCCACCTGTATGATGAATTCGTTTGCAAGAAATGGACCTGCTGGGTGGCGGTGGAGGCGATATATTTAGAAAATCCTTATTTTTAATACATCCTGGTTGAAATTTATAATAATCATTTCATGATAAGCAATGGGTTTACAGAAAAGAGATCCAAGGATGGCGCTGCAGCCGTAATATATAGAAACCCCATGGGTTTGGCCTGCTTTGTCCCTCNCTGGGTGGCGGTGGAGGCGATATATTTAGAAAATCCTTATTTTTAATACATCCTGGTTGAAATTTATAATAATCATTTCATGATAAGCAATGGGTTTACAGAAAAGAGATCCAAGGATGGCGCTGCAGCCGTAATATATAGAAACCCCATGGGTTTGGCCTGCTTTGTCCCTCTGTTTATTTTATGTGAATTTACTTTTCAGATGGTTAAATAAAATTGTGTAAGCGCACCTTTGTCTGGCGCCCTCATACACCCTCAATGCGATTACACCCTCAATGCATTTACCTCCGATTAACCAAATTGCTCGGTACGGCCATTTTTGCAGCAGTAAGACTCAAAGAAACGAGTTCATAAATATTAAGACGAATTATAAAAGTGGCGAATTAGCTTGTAAAGATTCGACCACATCCGTCCAATTAGAAACACGGTTGGTATATCAATGGCTTCATTTGAACGATATTCAAGAGATCACACGACTCATTTAGCCAATGTACGGGAAAACTTTTCATCCTGAGGGGTTGCGAGTATTCTTGGCCCTCTTATAACAGAGAACGCTCATCTGTTCTCTTAGGCTTCCTTATAAAGACTTTTATTGGCTTCCGCATCGGACCAATGTTATAGTTGCAAGATCAAAGGAGATTATACACGCTTGACAGAGATTTAACAGGTGGAAATAAGACCATCGTCAAAGCTCATGACATCGAAAGGGATTAGTTTTCCATATAGCATCAAAGAGCTACTATTTTTGGCCTTTCTACTGTACAGCCCGTTTTTTATTTTAAATGCTATTTTTGCATTGGCCCACGCAAAAGTTCTTATTAGGCGTCGCGAAGCAAGCGGGCATTGGCTAGTATTATATAATTCTTCGGTACGTGTGTTTCTGAGTGAACTTCTCCTAAACGACCGAAACGATTTTAATGAAATTTTTTTGTGTTTGAGTGGGTCCCTGTATAGTTTAAGTTCACAGCTTAAAACGCCAGGTGGCGGTTCAGTCGAGCTATTACTAAAAATCGTATTTATGATCCGATTTGGCTCATTATCGAGATATATAGATATGGGTAGTGGTAGGGGCAATGCTATTGTAAACAAAGCCGTAAGGTGGCGCTGAAGTCGAGTTATTTCTAAAAAGCGTGAAGTGAAGTAATACGGAGACACCACGGATCAATGACAAATTACCACTGTTGAATCAACCAATAAACAGAATACAGACAATTATTTATAAATGCCTACACATACAATTGTAAGATATTTAACGTATTTAGTCTGAAATAAGTCTATATATATATTGGATTTTTATGGACCAATGATACACCCCATTTTGAAATTGCCACCAGCTAACCGGATCATTGTCGCAAGAACTTCTTCACGGATATAACGCTTTTGTTAGGTTATTTAAGTTAGCAATGGAGGATATGCCTTCTGACGACCACCAAACCAAACGTGAACGTGAATCGTTGGTGAAAACGTTGAACCAAATGTTTCAATAAAAAAAATAGTTTTGGGTGGGACGAAGTTCGCCGGGAGTGCTAGCGATATAGAAAGTAGAGGCGTAACTAGTCGGAAAATTTTTAATTTAGGTAAATAATTACTTAGCAAATAACCACCATTAATTTCAAAGAGGACATTTTTTTTTCTACCAAAGTTGGAAAAATGGTCGAAAATAGTATTTACGAGAAACATGTAGATAGATCTAGCAAATTTCAGTAAAAATATTAACTTGTCTTTTTACTGATACTTAAAATTTAAGTACCTTTCGCTAAAGTGCAAAAAACTGAACAATACAGACAACACAATGTGACGACAACAACAATATGACGAGTCTTGCAATAGCAAAAACCAAAAAAAAAAATATAAAATCCAATATGGCGGAATATTCCCACATGAAACCTAGGGGCAAGACTGTGGAGTCATGATCTAAGTACGTATCAAATAGAAGTAAACTGTATAAAAAGTTCGCTGCTATTTACAATTTTTTTTTTCATTCGTACCAATTTGTTCTAATTTTACTGGGCTACGTCCTTGGCTGCCACAAAAAAGGTCGCCGTAAATTCATTAAAGCCCCAAACACTTTTCTTAAATATGAACAAACAACGATAAAATAGGTGAAGCATCTCAGTAACGCAATCACAATTTCAGTAGCTTGGACTCCCACATAAAATCTAAACATACAAATAAAAAAACTTTAAATACATTAAAAGATTAGCCCATATTGGCAGGTTTTGACCAGTTGTGTTCTGTTTAACATACGTTGAGAGACAATTTTCTATTGGCATATTACTACGTAGTAGGTGAAAGCATTGAAGTCAAAAATTCGTAGCTGCCTGTGTGTGTGCATGCGGAATTGAGCCTATAATGACCCTCATTGTGTTATGCTCAGTCACATTCATAGAAACATAGGTGGGGGTTGTACGTACATATGTACATATGCTCGATATTCTTTTCACATATAAAGTAATGCTTATGTAAGGGTTGGCTTCGTTGAAGAATTCAACGCCAGCGCTTAGGTTAATTGTTATGTGGGGCTCGGTCACAGAATTGACCCATGAATTAGACCAAAGCAGGGGGTCAATTGCCCATTAATACATACAGATGAGGTATTTGTATGCATGCAAGTACGTATTATAGAACAAGTAATTAATTCCCATTGGGCAGGTCAACTAAGTCACAGACCGTTAGAAGCCGCAATGGTGTATTGACATCAGTAGTTCCTTCTTATGTACAAATAAATAAAAATTAAATATTTGGCGTTTACAAAATTGCTAGTACACCGCGCTTCCGAACTGTAAATGGTTTTTA